CTAACTGGTCTGCTTCTCAGACCTCAGTGTAGTTTTCCCTGTGAGACTGGAAATCGAATATTAAAGCCCCTTCACATGTGAATGAATGTGGGTTTACTGGCACCATTTTATAATGAGTTCAAGTCCATTTGTAGAGCAGATAGCAAAAAAGAAGAGATAGATCTTCATTATTCCTATAACCCCACCCGTTTCCCCAGAAAGTCACTTCCCATAGGCAGGAGGAGACAGAGGAACCCACCATGCATATGCCAACTGGAAAGCTTGGTTTCTGAACCTGAGGGCTATAATGAAACATGGATGGGGATGATCTTATTTTAATTTAATTCATAATTAACAAATATGTCTTGAGTGTCAACTATGAGCTGTGCATTGTTGACCACTGATAATACAGTGATGAAACAGATGTGATCCTTGCCTTCAAGTATCTTACAGTCTAGCTGGGAAACCTGATGAGCAAGCTCTAGCTTTAGTGCATAAAAGGAATACTCTAAACAAAAGTTTCCCTTCTAGCGTGTGCCCTGCACTACACTCTGTTTTAGGTATCAAACCAACGCTTGAGGCTTGAGACCGTCCTTCCTCTTTTTCTGAATTCCTGCTGAAATACAAGACAAGGAGCCCTTCAGTGCGCTCTCATAGTATTACACACGGAGTGGGAGTCCTGTGAGTTACAGTTCAGCCAAAGCTAATGGAAATGCCTGCCTTGGTCCTGCTCTGATCACCTCAAAAATGTACCCTCCCCCCCCACCCCCCACCCCCGCCCCCAGCATTTCTGATACCAGGTTTCAGGTCAAAGGCAGGAAACAACAGCCCCTTCATGTAGTTCAGAAACTGAAGTGAAACTTACAGTCAGGGTTCCAACCTGTGGTTGAAGATCTTTCTCTCTTCTTCCTCTTCCAGCCCCTGCCTCCTGTTGCCTTTTATCTGAATCTTCCCACCAAGTCCTGGAGTTAATTTGGTCTGAGTAGCACTAACCCAGCTTTCCTGTCTTACGGAGCCAACGCACTGTCTTGAAACTTCAGTGGAACTTATAATGACTCTGTGGTGGCTACAGCAGATAAATTTCCTTTGATTGCAAATGATAGAAACGAATTCTGGCTAGCTGAATTAAAAAAAAAACAGGAGTACAGGGAGAGAAGTGGGGTTTTTTGGAAGGATATTTATATTCCCGCTCAGAATTTAAGGGCAAGACAAACAAGAGACAGTAAGGAGTCAGCCCAGCGATCGTGGCAGCTCTGAAGCTCTCAGCAAATTGAAACGCCTGCCTTTGTCCTCCTCTGATCATCTCAAAAATGTACCTCCACTGAGCGTTTATGAAACCAGCTTTCATGTCAAAGGCAGGAAGCAACAGTCTCCTTCATGAACTCAGACACTGAAGTTAGTGGACCTTCTCTCCAGAGAAGTAGCTGAGCAGATCTCTGAATCAGCCCAGTGAGAGTGTCCAGGCTAGGCGTATGTGGGGGAGGGCCAGGGTCTGGGGGGTCTGCCTCTGTGTGAGGGGATGGGACGGTCTCTACAAAAGGGGAGATCATTGTAAGCCTGGCAGCCATGCCCTGAAGTCCATGTACTGGCCCTTCCTTGGGCAGAATGGTGGGCTAAGGAGACCTGTCTCTCAGGGAGCCAGATTTTTATCAGCAGAAGTTATCATTTTATAAGTAGTTCATCATTTTCTTCATTCCTCCATTCAATCTAGCTTCAGTCATGGTCTTGCTAGTTAAACTCAATCTATAGTCAATTCTGCTTTCCTGGTTGACTCAGTATTATTTACCTTAGTCTATCTATTTGTTGGTTAAACTATAGAAGAGGTTTTCAAAATAGAATTAGGGCTCCCCCAGTGGAGATTGGGAGAGCCCAACTTGAAGCTTCTGTCCTATCCTGTCCTTGCCCCAGGCTGGGATGACTGTGGACCTGGGAGGCTGGTTCATCTCAGGCTCTTAACTGCCTTAAACCTGAATTACTGTAACATTCATTCATTCATTCATTCATCCATCAAGCCTTCACTACGTCAGAAACTCTATCAGGAAGTAAGGATACAGAGATAAATCTGGCACCAGACCTGGTCTGAAGGGACTCATGGGGGCTTGGAAATGCACGTGTTAGAAAGGTAACAGCTTTATAAGATCAAGTGGTTACAGCACTGCGGGCTTAGGCAGTAGCCCTGGCCCAGAGGTCCTTACACTGCGCCACAACTGGCCCCTCTGGCTATGCTCACCTCCCAGAAACTGACACCATGGGAAGCAGGATGATGGCCTCCCCAGCCCCCAAATGGTGCCCACAGCTTTCCCCAGAAATAAGAATGTTATGTTACATGGCAAGAGGGAATTAAGTTTGCAGATAGAATTAAAACACTAATTAGCTGACTTTAAGAAGTGGAGTTTAGCCTGGCTTGTCCAGGTGTACCCATTGTAATCACAAGTGAAGGACGGAGACAGAAGAGGGGGAACTGGAGAGCCAGAGGCATGAGAAGGACTTGACCTGCAGTTGCTAGCTTTGACCCCTGGAGCCTCCAGAAGGAACCAGCCCTGCCAACACCTTCACTTTACATTCAGTTTAGATTTCAGGCTTCTGACTGCCAGCACTGCAAGATAATAAATGTGAGTTATTTTAAGTCACTGCACTCGTGACGATTTGTCACAGCAGCAATAGGAAGCTAGCGCAGGTGGGCATATACCCAGGATATGCCTGGTTCTATGCAAAAAGACAGAGGACTGACTGGGTGTATCTTTTTAGAACATCACTTGAAATAGGATGACAATTTAGCATTGACTTTGAAGATGAAGCACAAGATTTCACATTTTTTCTAATTTGTGAGCTGCTTTGAGCCCTGGCTCCAGGCTCCCTCTTCTCCACTGTCAGATGGGAGTGTTGGAGAGGCCTCAGTTTGTCCCAGCGCTGTGGTCAGTGACTACTAGACTACTGCCATGCCTACCCTGAGCACAGCGTTACAAATAAGTCTTGTTTAATTTCACATTTCAAAATCCACATTCCCAAAGATGGCAATCATTGGGATTTCACTTAAGGATTTAAAAATACTCATATCAAGGCACGATAACATCTGACATTTTTATAATCCTTTCACAAACACTTTATTAGTTTTAGCACTAAACTGCTTCATGAAGAAAGGGTAATCAATCTCACTTGTCAGAGGAGGAAACAGAAGCTTAGAAGAGAATGTCCGAAGTCAGCAGGTGCTGAGTGGCCGTGATGGCTCTTTCCACGATGCCACGGTGACCGCCAGGAGGTGTTTCTCCGGGGTCGGTCACTCAGAAGCCACCCCCAAGTTCATCAAACCCCTGCCATGTCGCAGCTGTGCACTTGCAGCCCCTGAGCCTGCACAGCGGCTGCTCCTGATTTAGGTGCTGCTGCTTTTTCATTATGACTGTAAAACGGTAACCGGCCCCTTGTCTTGCTATGACTGGATCTGCTCTCGTGAAAGCATCGCACTGCCAGGAGAGAGCACAGACAATGCGTGAGAGCGAGACTGGGGCTTCTGATAATGGCAAAGCCATTTTTCATTGTGATCCCAAAGCTCCTGCGGTGAACTGGGTGCAGAGAGAGGAGGAGGCGGCCACTGTTTTCCGGGGGGCCGAGATCAGAGCCCCTCTTTTGGCCGTTTTCAATGCTCCTTTCACTTTGCCGCAGGGCACTACCTGGGCCCAGGTATCAGTACGTTGTGCGTGCTCAAGCCTCAGAGAAAGGTTTTGCTTTGTTCATAGGTTTCTCATTATTATTAAGGTCTTTTATTTATTTTTTTTTACTCAGAGGTTTCTTTTCTTTCCTCCTTGTCCCTCTCTTACTCCAGCCTAAGGTTCATACTTTCTATGATCTCTTCATCCCCTTGTCGAAGAAGCCTTCCTTGACCCTGTATAAAATACCACCCTCTCCCGACCCGGCTCTTTTCACTCTGTTCCTTTACCTTGCTCTGTTAGGGTTTTCGTGACAATTCTCTCACATAACTTTTTTTTTCAAAAATGTTTCTGTCTCCCCCGTCTCCTTTGTCTGCTGCTGTGTCCCCAGTGCCTAGACAAGGGCCCAGCACCTAGCGGAGCTCAGTAAATATTTGTTGAATGAACTACTGAATTCTTTACATCTCCCCTAGTGTATGGCACAATCCCCAGCCTGCCATAGAAAAGATCCTAGTAAAATAAAAATGCAAGAAGCCATAGCAAGGGGGAGAAAACCCTTAACTCACTTTTTTGTAGCCAGTTTCTAGTTTATGACTTGGAGGAAGTGTCGGGCGAAGGGACGGATGCAGAAGGGGGAAATGTCAGAGCGTTGAGTCAGAGGCACTCTCAGTCCTCCGAATGATGCATCCAAGTCCCCAGCACCTGGCCCCTGCCCGCTTCCCCCGACCTCCGGCCTCCAGCTGGAAGTGAAGGTAATGACGTGGGAGCCACAGTCTGTTCACGTCCAAAGAAAAGCAAAGGCTTCATTTCCTTCAGCTGTTAACTGGTTGGCAGGAGACAGCACGGCAAATGCTATGAGCTCCTATTTTTGAGGTCTACTGATTTGTTACGAGTTGTTCTGAAACTAGTAAGAAACGGGGCAGTGGAATGAATCCTCCTATACCCAGCGTATTTGCTTAGTTTTGTTTTCATGGCTTTTGTAAAACCTCCCTGGAAAATCTCATTATTGCTTAAGGTCTGGAATGGTGTCACCTCCCCTAGGGCAGCGTTTCTGAAACCTTCGATAGAAAGGCTTGTAAGGGCCTCCAGGTGCCCAGCATGCTTGGTTCACATGGCTGTTGCTGGTCTCATCACCAGGATCCCTTAAGTGACTATTCATGGCCAGCTCTGTCTGAGTACTAGGAGGCCAGACACCATCCCATGCTTTTATCTCTAGCATCCTGCTTAAGTGCCTGGCACATAGTTTGTACTTGATAAATGTTGAGAAAATGACTAAGTAAATTCATGAAAAACAAAAGACTTCACAATCTAGCCACAGTTATCCAGTTGTTAGCATTTGGACCTTCTATTTGATTATGCTTTTTCATTTTCATTCAGGCACTCTGATCGTCCTGAAGCATCCGTATCCAAGAAAAGTGGAAGAACCTTCCATTTATGAGTCTGTCCGGGTTCACACAGCCATGCAGACAGGAAGAACAGAAAACGACCTGGTGCCCACTGCACCTTCGGTAAGTGGCCGTCCCTCTGCCCACAGTGCTCTCACTGTCTAAAAGTGATAACGTGCAATAAGAGGGTTACACACTTTTTAAAGTGCGTTTGTTCACATAAAAATGCTAACTTGGGACATAAAACCTGGAAAGGAACACAAAGTTCAAAGGAACACAAAGTTGAGACTCAGATCACCTGGTCCAGGGTAAACTGTAAAAGTTGCAATGCAGTAAGATTTTTAAAGACTTCAAAAATGGCACTTAAATACCAACCCTTACTTAACCAAATAAGTTCATGGTAGAAGGAGCAAGAGATGTTTATGCTCACACAGTTAGCTAAGCTGTTATTCTACAAGTTTCTCAAATTAAGAGAAAAAATTGTTTCTTTTACATTTCAACTTTCTATGGAAGAAAAAGATTCCCCATCTTGACTATAAACTCTCGGGATGTTATTTTTTTCCAGGGCTTTTTATTTTTACCTTCACTGAATGAAGGGAACAGACAGAAGACACTTGCACATCTTTGCAATGTGTGCGCGACTGCTCAGTTTCAGGACGCCTGGAACCTTCCTTGTTCTCCTCAGAGTCCATTTATTTTTGTTCTGTGGGCTGCGACCCGGCAAAATGTCCTTTCCACACTCTCTTCCCTTCATTATGCCCAGGGCTCCTCTGTTCTTTTTCTCCGCATACTCCGGTGTGAGACATCTGGAAGTGTGCAGATGATAAAGAGGGCAACGCCCAAGTGACATTTCAAGAACTAGTTCTAGATCTGCAAATTATATTAAAATATGCATGACCTTTTGTCTCTGCGGTACTTCTACCCTGCCACTAGAGACATCTCTCCTAAAAGGCAGATTTCCCACGTGACCTCGCCGCTTAACATCCTTCAGCCGCCGCCCTGGACCCTGCGTCTCTCCCGCCTTACCTCACTCTCCTCCCACACACGCTGGGGAACTGAGTCTCTCGCCAGCTGTGCTTGTCCCCGCATCTGAAATGCAGCCAACACCACTACTGTGCCCTTATCCTTCCAGACTTGAGGCAGGGATCAGTATCTTCCGGGAAGCCTTCCTGGACCCCTCCAACTCCCCCTAAAATGCCCCTCCACTGGGCTCCGAGCATCCTCTGCTCACCTGTATCCTGGAATCATCACGCTGGAGGCTGGCTCCCCGAGCGTGTCTACCCTCCCCCCGGCGCCTGACTCTTCTCCAGACGGGAATCATAGCCACGTTCCTAGCTTTATAGTGCAGCCAGGTTCAGGGCACATATTACATTGTTACTACGCTGCGTCTACTCAAAAATTAAAACCCTGGAAATTGGTTGAGAAAGATATTTTAGCTTTGTTAGAGTTAGAAGAGGAAGCATTAGATCTCAGAACTGGAGAAATTTAAGAAAGTAAGACAATAGTTCCAAGTCAGAACAGACCAAAGAACAAATCCTCTACCTTCTAACCAATCCTTTGTTTCCCAGGAGACCATATTCTTTCTGCCTAACCTACCTCTTTACCATCCTTTCCCTGCCGCCAATCACTCCAACATCTTTCTCATTTGTACTCTCAGTTTAATTTTACATTCTTCTGTTACCTTCCTATAAAGATCTCCACTCAAGGTTAACTGAACTATACCCTACTACTTGTGACCTTTATGAACAGTAAAATGCAGATAAAACCTAATTTGTGGAGTTGGTGTGAGCATGACACATAGCATACTTAGGTAGAAAGAGACCTCTGGAGACCAAATTCTGCCAGCCTTATTGCTTTCCTTCTTTGCTCACTCCAAGTATCAGATAAATTCATCCACCCAAGTATCCAAATATGACCACACACAGAAGGTTCTGTATAATGGAGTTTTTAAAACAGTGGTGAGTGAATGGTTGAAAACGTCTACATTCACACTGTCTAATGAGAGGTCCATGACATTTATTGTTCACTGACATAGACAGAAAACTAAAGGTTTCTTAGTGGATTCTCAAGGGTCTCACACTATCTCCCACTAAGGAATGACTGATAACTGGACCAGCCAGCTGGGGAAGCAGTTCTGATCCACTCAGATGCTCTAGTCCCTTACTGAGCACAAGCATTCACAGCCCTAACTGGTTACTCCCAATGCCTATATGATGCTGAGCCTCCACCGTAACTTGAGAGCTCTGGGGCTTCTAGACACCTGCTTCCTCTTTGGGGAATGCAGTTCTTGCACAAGCTCTGGCAGTAGAGGAAGAGAAGTAAGTCCTATTTACAGGAAAAAGAACCTCTTGCTTGAAGTAAAAATGAAAATCGGTGTCCTACTGCCCCAGATGTAGATGCTTCTGTAAAACTGTCTGCCATCTGTTGGCAACTGCATTTGGGGAAATTACTATTTATGCATTTTATAAACAACATAGGATTGGGCTCCTGAGATAGGATAAAATTTAGCTAATCCATTTATTTAACAAAAAGAATTTTATTTAAAGTGCCTACAATGCCCCCAGGACTGTTTTAAGCATTAAGGGTTTGGGAGGAAACTAGTCAAAGGCTCCGCCCTCAATGGGCTCACGCTGTAGCCGAAGGATCACAGACAGTAATTGATGGAATCAGGCAAACACAGATAGGAATAGGTCATAAAAAGAAAAAGCTGGAGAAGGGAAGGCCTCTCAGAGGAGGTGACATTAGACCAGAGGCTTCACTGAAGGGAAGGAACGACTCCTGTCAGGATGTGGAAAAGTGTTGCAGGCAGAGAGAACAGGACAAAAGCTCCAAAGTGGGAACTAAATTGAGGCAGTTTAAGGACTAGGAAGAAGATTGTCTGGCAGGGAGTGAGCAAGAAGGAACGTGGTGGGAGGTGAGAGTATTGAGGTAATGAGGGGTCAGATCCTGTAGCCAGTGGAGTTCTCAAAGGGCAGGGGTGCCCAGCTGAGCGTTCGGAAATTTCTGGGTGTCACAGTTATCACAATGCTTTGGGGACACTGCTGGCATTAGTGGGCATCCAGGACTGTGAAGAGTCTGAGACTTAACCCTCCTTTGCCAGCTAACCAGTCAGCCTGCCGCGCTCTCCTGGGTGCCGAGAGACGTGCGTGGCTTCTGCTTCTCTGCCTTTTTCTCTGGAGGGAGCACTATTTCTGTCTTTTAAGGCTGTTGGCTAGACAAACACACTTTGGTGTGGACCCAAGGGGTGTTGGTGCCTTGCTCATAATACGTGGAGAAACACGAGAGACCCCAATGGGCAGGGATCACGGAGGCTCAACATGGAATGAGAGTCATCCAAATCACCAATTGTACTTTCCTTACACAACATGAAAGGTCTTGTAGGAAAAGACAGAGGATCTATTTTTGTTCCCCATGTTGATAAAAAAGCATAAGAGTTTTGAGTAACATCATTTGTTTCTAAATTTTTAAAAAGATCATTTTTGCTACTCAGTTGAAAATGGAGTGAGAGCAAAATTGAAGGCAAGGAGACAAGTCAGGAGGCTGTGCCAGCCGTCCAGGTGGGAGACCGGGGTAGCTGACACTGGAGAGAGGGGATGAGAATGGGGAGTTAGAACAGGGGGAAGGCAGAACTGTTAACCTCAGGATGTGCCTGTGTGTGTTTTATTGAAATATAGTCAATTTACAACGTTGTGTTATTTTCTGGTGTATAGCATAATGACTCAGTTGTATGTATATATATTCCCTTTCATATTCTTTTCCATTATGGTTTATTGCAGGATGGATTAGTGCTATACAGTAGGACCTTGTTGTTTATCTGTTTTATATAGTAGTTTGTACCTGCTAATCCCAAACTCCCAATTTATCTTTCCCTATATACATTTTGTTAATTGCACAAAATCATGGTTTGTTTTTGCCATTTAAACATTATCACACAATCCTATTCTAAAAAACAATGTTCATTAAAAACAAAAATAAAAACTCACAACCTTAATTACCCAGATTAGTTGTTTAAAGGTGGGAAAAAAGGGAAGGTAGCCGAGGAGGGGCTTTCTTATAAGCTTTTCAACAAGTGTCATATTTTCTCCTTAATGGGAAGGATTTCAAAACAAAGGTGAGACAGCTTACATAGAAAGATGCATAAATAGGAGCTTTATAGAATTGTCATTGATACCATGACAACACTAAGTAGCTTCATTATAGCGCCATCTCTCACTCTGCACTGTTAATAGAGCTATAGTACTCTTGTTTATTTAATTATGTATTGTGAGCATCGTCCACGTCATTACATAGGCTTCTAAAACATCATTAAAACAAGTTCTTTAATATTTCATTATTTGGATATATCATAATTTATGTAGTTAATTCTCCATTATGTTTTTACATGCTATTTTTTAAATTTTCAATAATTTCAAAAGTACAGAAAACTTGAAAGAGTAGTACAAAGAACTGTCTTTGTTCCTGAACCATTAGACAGTAAACTGCCTGCATCATGCCAACACCCCAGCGCTTCAGTGCGTAATCCCTACGCACAAGTGCCTCCGCCTGTGGGACCGCACGGAGCCGTTCTATCTGGGAAATTAACATTGATACAGCGCCGCGGTCCCAGCCACAGGTCTCATTTAGGCATCACCAGTTTCCCCAGTAAAGCCCTTTAGAGCGAAAGGATCCAGTCCAAAGTCACAAGTTGCATTTATTCATCAAGCCCCTTGAGTATTCTTCACTCCGGGATGCTTCCTCAGTTTTTCCTTGATGTCGTGACTTTGATACTTCCGACAGTTAAAGGCCAGTTATTTTGTGAACTGTTCCTTAACTGTAGTCTATCAGATGTAGCCTCGTGATTAGATTCAGGTTTTGCATTTTTGATAGAAATACCACA